AAAAAAAAAAAAAAAAGAAAAGAAGCATTGTTAGAAGAACATATTAGTGGAAGCAATTAAGGTGACTATGCCATAAATACGGACAGTACTGGTCATCCATATTAGTATGTGTGACATGATGTGTTCTGTGTCAATAAAAATGATTTATATAGCCCCAGAACTAGTTTCTAGAAATACTTCTCTGGTAAATTATGTATACTGCCTAAGTCAGCACCACTTGGTTAGTTCAGCAGACAAGCACGGCTCCCAAATCCAAAGAAGGTAGTCTTTCTTAGGAAAAAACCAGTTCTGCAAAGAACTATTAGAAAACTCCCCATATCCTGATTATACATAGTAGGTTTTATTTTTAAAACTGACATTTATCTTGATGTGACCTTTTCTTAATCCCTTAATGCCGTTTAGTTGAAATACCAACAGGCAGAGAGAAAGTGGCAATGGGAGTGCAAGGGTTGTATTTATAAAGTATGCTACTGTGAAACGCCAGGGCCACGGGTTCCAACCACTCTACAGACCACAGCAAAAAACTCGCTCTAAAACCACCGCCTGTGGGGCCATTGCCTTTGTTGTTCTCACCTAGAAGTTTTTCACTCTCCTAGATCCTACAGTGTTCACAGAGTTGACAGGCCCATGATCAATGACTGTACTTCTTTGTTAATTTCTATTTCTAATAAATTCAAGGGAATAACCGGCAGGCACTGATCCAAACAATGAGCTTATGAAAGGAAACAGGGATTTTTCTAGTACAGCAAATGAAAATTTTACCTGGAGAACCCAAGGGTTCTTTTTGCAATAACAGTGGACCCGTTGGCTGTTTATTCATTCCATTTTCATATCTCTTTCCTAACACTGAATAAGAGACATATCAAATGAATATCTACCTCGAGGAATTATTTTAAAAATAATAAAAAATAATTAGCCAAGTGGTTATTAAAAAAAAAAAAATTGTTCATGCCCTCAACAGGGGATCAAAAGCTTCCATAATAAGTTTAAAAGAAAATTTTGCCCAAGTGAAAAGCTGCTGATTCAAGTGCCTTTGCGTTTTATTTTCAGTTTCAGAAACAATATTTAAAACCTTTATGTCCAGCTCTATATCTAAACATAAAACTTGTCCAGTTCTCTTTCAAGAGGCAGTCTTGGCTGCAATTACACTATCTAATGACCAAAGTGAAAAATTGGGTTCCTGACTGACCCTGGCAGGCCAGCTCTTTATGCTCGAATGATATAAGGGACCAGCTCACAAGACCTCACTGCGCCTGGCTTTAAATGTTATTGATGGCCTTAAAGCCAGGCCACCCTTTTAAAAATCCTTTGGTGCTCCCGGTCTAGTGATCACCATAGGAGTGACTTACATGTTGTTGGCTTGTGATTCATGGAGAGAGTTTCCTATCATCTGTCTTATCTTCATGACGTTACAATTTCTCTAAATATTCTTCCCATTTCAACGTTAGTAAAAACAGCGTTAAGGGGTATCAGGCTGGGGTTTGTGTTATCTTAGGTGCTATCACCAAATACCCTCTTTATTCCTTATTCTCTTTCATGTAAAATTCATTCTAGTTTATACACCTTTAGGCACATCTGGGACCACAAATAACCTGTGTTGCCTTTTTCCAGATGTTTTCAATGAAAGTCTTTGTTCTCTAATGCGAATGTCCATGTTTTCCATAGAGCAGTGACTCTCAACCCCAGATGTCAAGTACACAAACTTAGGCTCCCTCTCAGAAATTCTAATTCAGGATGTCTCTGTGATGGAGCCTAAGACTCTGATTTTAGAATATCCATAGGATACTCTCATTTGCATCCTGAATTAATTAGATTTGTGGGGAAACTAAGTTGGCAGTATGATTTTTGAGTCATCTCTATTATAGTTCTATATAAAAACCAAAAGATAAACAGTTCTTCTGGTAACCTACTCGGAACAAGTTTATATCCTTATTGATAATATTTAGAAAGAATAGCTTAGCTCCAAACTAGTTGTGACTTCACAGCTGACACTACAGAGGGTGTCAAAAAAATGGATATGCATTTTAAGAAAGGAAAATACTATATTAATATTGCAATGCTCAATATATGCAGATAAAAATGATGAATTCAAGTCACATTGAGCACCTCTGTAATTTCAGAGTCAAACATGACGTGAGTGTGAAAAACTTCATTTGCTTTTTTCCTTTCTTAAAATGTGTATACTTCTTTTTGTTTCCAGGAATCCTTTGCCACCCTTTGTGTTTCCAGGAATCCTAAAATAAGATCACAGTTTAATGAACTATCTTAACCTAGAACCCTTGGACATTATGTTCGAGGTACCTCCTCTTTCTCTCCTCCTCCACAAAGTAAGAACAATATATGTCCTCATAGAATGTCTAGAACTATCAAGATTCCAAACGAGTAAATGAGAATCAGAATTAAGAAACAATGTGAAATTTGTATAAAAATAGGGTGGTGCCTGTGGCTTAGTGGGTAGGGCACTGGCCCCATATACCAAGGGTGGCCCAGCCAAACTGCAACAAAAAATAGCTGTAGCAGGTGCCTGTGGTCCCAGCTACTTGGGAGACTGAGGCAAGAGAATTGCTTAAGCCAATGAGTTTGATGTTGCTGTGAGCTGTGACACCACAGCACTCTATGAAGGATAATAAAATGAGACTCTGTCTCTAAAAAAAAAAAAAAAAAATTGTATAAGAATAGTTCTCATCCTTCCATCTGTAAACTAATTGTTTCCCTACTCATTTGTGGGATGGCCTGGAAAAGGGATAGAGAAAAACGTTTCTGAGATATTCTCATTTATCAATTCTGGTTTATACATATCTTCTTGCCAGCATTGCCAATTCTACATTTCATAAATTCTACTGTGAATGAAGCACTGTGCTAAGCACTAAGGCTATGGAGGTCAACCAAATATGCACTCCCAAGTATGAGATAACTCAGAGCACAGGCAGCAGGAAAGACAAAGCCCTGTGCCATCATGGACAGCTCCACATGTAAAATTTGTTGAGCATATACTATTTTTAAATTCAATCATCGGACCAGTAACTTTGATGTGAACCAAGCAGTGTGTAATGAAAACGGTATTGTCTGGAGGTCAGTGGGGCCTCAGTCTACACCAGCCACTAATCGGCCTCAGGTTTCTGATCTGCTGAGTCTGTGACTTCTAAAGCCTCTTCTTGTTCTGAGTTCCCAGACTTCCGCAGTCACTCTAATAATTATCCATTTCTTACTAGAATTGTGTCCCTGATTTTCCCCCCTTGTTTCTCTTTTGCAGATCCTGTTCATGGGCATGATGACTGAGTATTATCACTACTTTTTCACTACCCTGGTAAGCACATCTGGCAGAAGCGATTCCACACGCTAGGAAACATCTTCTCATGGTTATTTCAAAGTCAGCACCACCAGGGTCCAAGGCAGGAGATGGCCTGGAGATTTGCCTTACTTTTCTAAGAATCCTCTAAACCCAGTCATGCTGAGCAGCAGGTTTCTTCTTTCCTTTTTTAAAACTAGCCCCGATGTGTGTGCGTTCAGAAAAGGATTAGAATGAAAATCCCACTAAATAAAAGCTATCAAAGTACGAAGTACAATTAAGGAAGCATCATCTACACTTTCTGCACACATCACAAGGTGGATCTAAGTGTGTCTTGGCATTCTTTGATTTGACGCATCTCTCCTGCCTGCGTCCAGCAGATAGCTGGGTTAGCCAGGGGTCACCTGCCAGACGTTTGGAAAACCTTCAAGAAGAGGAATTTGGGAAAACTCTGCACATTTAATTTTGTGCACTATTAAGAAAAATCATGATTGTTAAACTTTAGAAATCCAAAAGAAACGCTAAGAAATCCTAAATTTGGAAAGATTATCTGATCAAAAGAGAATGATTTAGGGCATCTAACACATCAAAGTGACATGATAGCTTTCATTCAGTCGATTTCAGAAATCAATGAGTGCCCCCCCTCCCCCCACCACACCCCCACATGCTCCATATTCTCACGTGGGAGGTAAGCACAGAACTGACCTCCTTTTCTTCTTTGTAGGAGTGTATTGACTAAAATCTACCCAAATTCTGGGGGGACTTGATACAAGTACCATTTTAGCAAGTAAAACTGCCAAGCTAGAGAATAGGGGGAATCAAAGAATTTGGAATAAGGACCAAGGAGCTGTCGTACTATTCACAGAAGAAACAATTTCTATTTGTGACTCAAGTATCTCTGAGAGCATGAGATGACCTCTTTGGGATAGTTGTTAAAATCATTACTGCTACTGAGTGTGGGGCTGGAAGGAGGGCACATGGCCCATGTTCTTCAATTAAAGTTTCATGGTCTTCTGCCCTGTGCTCCCGCACACTGATCATGTCCTCTTTCAGAACAGTGGAAGGAAACCATGGAGCCTGCAAGGTGTATGGCTCCTCCCTGTCACTATTAACACTTAGGATTACTCATGGTGACATGGCCACCAGCCGCAGCTGTACACACCTCAGAGAGCTGGTGTTGGAGAAATTTGAGAAAGAACATGAACAACAGAACCTAAGAAGTCTGGTCCTCCGTGGGGATCCTGGAGGATGCACAAGTTGTGTGCTGCTTATTTTTGTTCCCCCTTTGCATTCCTGCTGACCTCATCCTGCATTCCCAAGAGGGTGTCAGAAATCAGATCTTAGACTTTCCACATTCTATATTACATAGAAAACTCCAAATAATTTTTTCACATGTTTAACATATTTCATTGTAGCATGCTGAATGAATTTACTGTTAGATCTCCGATGGATTCAGGATGTGTTCTGGAAGTTTCTGTCCGACATCCTGGAGCTAGAATAACTTTATCTCTATTCAGTGAGCATGTTAAAGGAATCATTCTTTCCTAGGCCTTATTTTTTATAAGTTTGCTTCTTTTATTTTTTTCCTTTGATTTTTTTCTGCATTCTGCCCTGCTTGGCTTCCATATTCTTACTATTCTTGTCCATGACTATTAATAAAAGTTAAAGAAAAAAATTAATACTCCAAAGAAAAACTATACAATGCTTTAAAAGGCAGTACTGTGTACCTTTTCTGACACTAGGAGCACAGAGCTGTGCTCTTCCAGTTTGTCTGTCTAGTCCAAAGAAGTACAAAGAGAGCTTGTCAAAAGAATAAATTTCTATGCATCTTCTGCAAATGCAAATCATAGTGTTTCTGAATCTGCTCCTCTTGAATAACCACTATCATCACCCATAAAGTGCTGTCTGGTATTGCACTTTCAAAAGCAGTTACATTGTTAGGAAATTTTTACAGAAGGTATTTTGTTGTTGTTGCTGCTGCTGCTGCTAAAAGCTATTTTTAAAATCTGTTTTCTTCTTAAATGTGATACATTTTTTTAATTTAATCTTTTTATTTAGAGAAAAGTTGAAATTATCACATCTCTGTTTTAAATCTGAATCAACTTACAAAACTTCTGGTGTATACACAACCTCATCTATGACAGAAAATACCAGGGTGTATATTTTTTTTTACAGAAACATTGTCTGAAAGGGAATGAATTCCATTGTTAAGATGTTCTCACATCCACGCAATCACATGAATTCTCCAGTATATTCTCTGATGAGAACTCTGTGACTTTTATTCTGAGCACACACATCCAGTGAGCATTGTTCACGTCCTTATTGTATGAGATACGAGTTATTTTTCAAGTGATCCAGGAGATGCTTTTTTTTTTCTAGCAGAATTGGTCTTCAAATGCAGATGCAACTTCCAGATTAAACCTTCATGGCAAGACCCAGAACAGCCTGATGTGGCAAGCTATGATGAAGAATGTGGTACTGCCACTGACCAGTGGTTCGTTCTGGGCTTCATTGTCACCACCCAGAACCTCAGTTTCTTCATCTCTAAAATAAAAGCTTTGCACCAAATGGACATAAATGTCACCTCCCCCAAAGACCATATCCTAGGAATGCAATTCTTACCTTTCAGAAAGTCATATCCCATGCTCCAGGGCATGCTAATAACCAACAGCCAAATTCCTCTGCTCGGCTTATTTAAACTCTAACCATGTTGCAAAAAAAATAGGTAAAGGTGAAAATGAAAATTGCTTACTGCCTTTGGGTTTCTTAGACAGCATGTGAATGAAAGACAATGGGCCATGTTCTTTTACTGAAACAGTGTGATATGGCTGCCATTTCTGTTTTAATCTATAGTCGTCCTCCTTGTCTGAGGGGGATCCACGTGAAGACCCCCAGAGGGTGCCTGGAACCAAGGATAATGCCAAGCTCTCTATATTTTATGTTTTTCCTTTCTGTACATCCTTAGGACGGAGTTTATTTTATAAATTAGGCACAGTACTTTTGTGGTTTAGAGCTATTATGACATAATAACAGTGCCTTGAATACAAGCACTGTCGCATCACAATAATTGATCTGTAACCAAGACACTTCCTACATGTCCCAGCAGTGATGAGTGGCATCGAGAGTGTGGAGATGCTGGACAAACGGAGGATTCATGTCCCAAGCAGAGTGGAGTGGGACAGTGCCAGACTTCCTCACATGCCTCAGAAGGGTCTACAATTTAAAAGTGATGCATAGTTTATTGCTGGATTTTTTAAATTTAATATTTCCCAGTGATGTTTGACCTCAGGTGGCTAAAACCATAGACCACAAAACCAAAGATAAGGGAGCCCCACTATACTAGTTGCTTCTACAATTGTTAATTCTCTTTTGTATGAGGACCATGGAAAATGCTAAGTCTGTTCTACTTGTATCATTTTTCCTACTACACAGGACCTGTTTGCTTTAGATCTGGAACTCTACAGGTACAGTGGCGTGAACATGACCGGGTTCCGGTTACTGAACATTGACAACCCTCACGTGTCATCCATCATCGAGAAGTGGTCCATGGAGAGGCTGCAGGCCCCGCCCAGGCCTGAGACTGGCCTTTTGGATGGCATGATGACAGTAAGTAGTTTTAAAATGTAATAATTTGAGTGAATGTTTGAATGCCATAGGGGTTAAGAATCTCATATGCCTTAAAATGTGGGAGAAAGAAAAGGTTATAACGTGCACCTTGGCTTATTTGCGAGAAGTAAGCTCTTTAGGTATTTTGAAAGGCTGCAGCTGGCTACTATAGAAATTACTATTTTTGGCTCCCTAACTGTACCTGCCTCAGACAAAGCAATCAACAGGAGTAGCCTCCACCATCAAACAAATGAAGACAAAGCCAGAGCCAAAGCGAGGGCAAGTGAAGAGGGTTTTACCTCTGACAACACGGCTTTGGGAAGGAGGAGGGAAGGAGGGAGTCAGGCTGCCTGGGGGGTGTGCGGAACCAATTTGTATTCCGACCATCTGCCCACAGCTCAATGAGTTGAGCAGATGTGGGAAAATGCTGGATTTACACACAGTTCGCGCACTCACGGTCTTCCTGTCCTGGATGCATATAAACTCATGTCTGCAGACACTGCCAGAGCTTAACACCAGCCGTATGCTGCTCTCCAAGCAGATGCCAAGCCCATCTCCTGACAAGTCAGCGAGACTCAGCTGAACAGGGAAACTGTGAACTGCCTCATCATAGAGCCTCTCGCTGACACCATCTTCCCATGTTGTCAGTGCACCTCCCTTCTCCTTATTTCTCTAATGAAGCTCCCTGGGTGATGAAGAAAATGGCAGGAAATAATAAGAAAAAATGCTTTCTATGTAGCAAAAGGGCCATCTAAGAAAAATATATGAGGAATGTGGGCAGGTAATAGTATTTCAAATTGCTGTGGTATTTTCTTCTCTGTCCCCATTGTCAGGGGAAGTACGCTTGCTTTTAAGATGTAATGTACTGATAACGGAGAGGCATCATCTTGCAGAATAATGAACTTGGTATTTCTTTTCTTTTTTTCCTTTTTTTAATGAGGAATAAATGAAAAATATGAAATAAATGAATTAATGAAGTGGTTCTCTGTTCAGGCTCCCTGACTGTTTTTCAAACCTGAAATACATTTTACACTATACAAAGCAGGCTGAGAGAGAACGATGGAAAACATCTTGGTACAAATGAGCCTTGGGGAGACTGGAAACATCGCTCTGAATAAGAACGATGGGCAGAGACTGTCCAGGGAAATGCTAGACCTCGGAGAAGAGAAGACGAGGGTGAGAGAGAGCAAAAGAGGGAGAGAGCGAGGTAGTTTTCTCTTCTTCCTTTTGGATTTCTAACTCCAGTGATTTCAAATATGGTACAAAATCCTCTGCCCACTTCCCTGCCTTCCAGTGAGATTTCTATCACAGGATGAGATCTCAAATAATTTTTACCTGAAGTTGGTAGGTGCCACTAAAGAGTTACAGTTTGAAGTTATGTTAACTTGGGTGATAGATTCATGCCAAATATTAAATACTCATCGCAAGTAGGGCTTAATTTACCAAAAACAAAAGTGTCTGCATGGCCGGGTATATTGTACTGACAAAGCCGTTTGTACACGTTGCCTGAGATGAGGAAGCCCATTGGCAAGAGCGGCAGAGCTGAGCAGTTCAGAGGCAGTGGACCTGTCGTGACTGCTGCCCTGGGGGCTGCTGGAGCCTGGCTGATGGTGTCCCACAGGCAGGAAGTGTGACAGAGCTGAGACCCAACGGATGGGTCATCCCAATGAAGGGAGGGGATTTTTGGTTTTTTGTTTTTGTTTTTGTTTTGTTTTTGCAGTTTTGGCCGGGGCCGGACTGGAACCCGCCACCTCCGGTATATGGTGCCAGCTCCCTACTCCTTGAGCCACAGGTGCCACCCAGGGAGGGTTTTTTATGCTGTTATCTTATTGTTATTACTATTATTATAAAATTACAAAAAGGAAAGAGAGAATTTATCAGACAAGAAGAGGATGGCTCATTGGGGTGCTATATAAGTGAGCAGAATAACTGTGTCAAGTCATTTCAATACTAGGTTTTGTAAAATGTGATAGAACTCAGCACCTGCTAGGAGTTTGGTCCAGTAGCCATGCAGATAATGGCTTAGAAATTGTTTATGTGCAGCATAATGTTGACGTTTATTTATCTGACGGATCTGCTTTGCATTTCACTGTGTCCTTGCTGTTTCTTCTGGATGTGCCTCATTTAGGGATGTGGAAATTGAGCCATGAAGAGGTGAAAGGCCATCTAAAGAAACATCCAACAGACCACTCACTAAACCAAGAGAACACACCCATACCCCCAAGTCCAGGGCCAAGGCTGACACATCTTTGCTCTCAAGTTACCTCTGTATAAACTCTTTCTCCTCTCCCTTCAAGATAAAAAGTTCTTTGGCTTCAGTTCTGCTGGGCCTACACCGCAAGCCCTGTACTTCATTCATTCTTACATATGGAGCACTTGTTACTCCTCCGCCTAGATTCATCCCCGTCCGGGCTGTTCAAACGCCATTTCCCCAGAGGGGCTTTGTATGAGCACCAGGGAATACAGGAACCCTGCCCTGATCTCTTTCCCACACCTGCTTTCCTTTTCTTTACAGCCCTTTTGACCAGATATGTGATTTATTTCTTTGATAGCTACTCCTATAAGGACATAACTCCATGAGAATAGAGACTTTGTCTTTTTGTGTTATGCTTTATCTCTAGCATTAGAAAAGGGCTGGCACTGACTCGGCACCCATCGCACAGTGGTTACGGCGCCAGCCACATACACCAAGGGCTGGCACTGACTCGG